CTCGACCCCGTTCGGTTGGTGCCGCCGCTGAGGACAGATGTGCTAAGCAAATAACACAAAATATTGCTGTGTGTTGTACCGCGGCGAAGAACAGACGCAGGTGCTCGCTTCCAGCTTTGGGAGGTTTTGCCTTTGCTGGATGTATGGTCGAAATTAATCGGATGTGCTTGTGTATCCACCCTTTTTGGATGCTGAACGTGTCTGGGTGGTTAGCATGGGCTAGCGAGTCAAGGTCCGGCAAGGTATGGTTCGATGCAGTTTTACCTTGCTTACTTTATTTGTTCTTATTTTTGGCAGCAAGAAGTAACGAAGTTCCTTATCACCGAGTGTTATGTGTGTGATATATGTTGCATCAATAACATATCGCAAGTGTTTTGTGGCCCTTCTGTTCACGCTTCAGCCGTCACGGAATTGACTTGTATTTACCGAAGGGCCAGTCACACTCGAGCCGGGCGTGTTTGTGCGGGTTGTCATGGCAGGTATACCTGGCGAGGGCTCCGTCCAGCTTGGGCTGTGGACTGCGGTGATTACCCTAAAGCGCCTTCCGGGGAATAACACTGTTTTGCTCCTACCGAGGAATAAAGCTGACGTTGCCTCCTTTCAGGGAATAACACTAACATTGCCCCTTCCAGGCGATAACACTAATATTGCCCCTTCCGGGGAATAACACTAACATTGCCTCCACCAGGGAATAACACTAACATCGCCCCTTCCGGGGAATAACACTAACGTTTCTAGGGGATGATGCACCGCGCTTTCTGCATTGACCGTTGATGGGAAGTTCTGTCTGTCTTTACGGATGTAGACGAGGTGAAAGTTTTCTGTCGGCCACCAGTCCGAAGCTGAATGACTCAACTGTTGGTTATTTTGTCTGTTGCTCTTCTACCGGCTGAAGCAGCCGATGTGAGTTATTGCTCCGGGTTCCTTGAGATCTGACGAAACCGGGATAATCTCTATTTTAAGAGAACCATATGCTATACACGTGTGAGTATACCTGGGTCTTCTCTGAGAAAACGGCTACACCCGGTGGATGCATATCGAGATTACCTGATTATCGGGGCTTAGCACATATTGTGCGGATCGTCCCCGGATGTAAGAAACTGCATATAAATACGCAGACGTCCGCGCTTACTGTGGCAGCAGTGGCCTAGTGGCGAGCATGTCCTGTGCAAAAATACCTTTGGTCAGAGAAATTCACTACGCGAGCTGCCTGAGTCTGTTGAACTCCTTGACGGTCCTGAACGCAGGATAATGCGCGCGCTGGGTTGGACGCGCGCACCACTGGTCGCGCGCCACGGGACGTGCGCGCCGGACGAGAATGCGCGTGCGGTGACATCATCACCGGGTGTGGTGACGTCATTACCGGCCGGTGTCCTAACCGTCCAGCAGGCTCCTGCCGATGCCACCCGCCAGGATGGCCGCGCCATGGTTGTGGGCGAAAGTCGACCGTCACAGGCTGCGGGCTCTCCACAGCGGCACGGATGACCCGGGCAGTGGGCTGTAGGCTGGGGTGAGGCGGAACGATTGGACGGGCGAGACGCAAGGTCGTGTTCAGAGGGAAGGGCTCGAGCGTCCCCCCCCCCCCCCGCTCTTCTCGGTCTACAAGTAGCAGCTCGGTCCTCCTGTGTTGACACAAATGTCGCGGCCCCGGAGTCGCAGCCTCTTGCGCCGCTGGCAGCATTATCGCGTGGTTGGTGGTGTGTATTCTGTGATTCACACGTCAACCCAATCAAAACACAAATAAAAATATCAGTGTCAACAGCTCAGCAAAGCGGTCATACCGCTGACTGCGAGCTGGAACCAGCGCCGACGACGGCACGGTGACGAGGCGTTGTCGTCGACGCCGACGACGAGCTAGCGTCGGCGATGGCGGCGCTGTAGAGGCAGCGTCGAGGCTCGACGAGGCTCCAGCCGGGCGCGGCCCGCGGCTACGACGGTTCTGCTGTCGCGTACCCGCTCCTCCCGCCCCCGATTTTCACCCGTGCGCCCCCAATCAGCGCCGTCGCCGCCGTGGCGCGTCCGTCGCGTTGCGTCCCTCGCGGTGATGATACGCGAGCCGAGATGGCAACCCGGGACGAGCGCGGTGGAGCCGGCGCGGGTATCATCGCGGCCGCCGCCGCCGCCGGTGCGCGCTAATTGGATGAATATTCATCGCCGCCGGGCGCGCGAGAGCGCGCGCGGTGTCACCTGGTCACGTGACACGGCGGCAGGGGCGGGGAGGGGTCGATGCGGGCGGCGGGTGTCGCGTGCGCGCGGCGGCGCGGGCCGGCCGGCCGCGTGACCTGTCGCGAAAAATGAGGCAGCCGCCGCCGCTCGTGTTTCGAGCAAATGGGAACGGTGGCAGGTGTGAGGTGGGGGAGACGGGGCGCGCGCGTCGGCATCGCAGGCAATTGCACGCAGGGCGGGGCGCGGGTTGTCTCGGGGCTGTTGTTGTTCTTATCAGTGTCATCCGAGTCGTGGGGACGTGGTGACCCCACGATGTTCCGTTCGAGGGGCACCCGCTCTTTCCAGGGAGATCCTGTGGTCTGCGGTGCGGCCCGTCAGCTCGGGCTGGGGATCGCCAGGGGGATGCGTGAAGGCTTTCGGCAACCTGCTGATGGCGACGAAGCCGTGGGTGCGCTATGGAATGGGTGTTGGGGCATATCTCGCTCTGGGAGAAGCCGGAATGGTCGACCTCACGCAAGCAAAGCCAATCATCGTTCATTGAAATGTCAGATCCTTAGCGTGACGAACACTAACCCAACGGAACTTTATGCAATTTTCATTGCATTCGTACCTTCTACTCTTAGACACCGTTGCAAACATTCTCACTTAAAAACAAACGACTCCCTCTTGCGCCCTAAAGCCACAAATCACTTGGATTGTGTCTGCACTGTCCCCGACCCTACCCGCTTACAAGACACCGGCTTAAAAAAGGAATCGGGCCTTGCGTGGCCGCCAATTTTTGCGTGTTTGGCCGCGGCGGCGGCGGCAGGCCGTCGGACCACGTGGCGCCAAACACAAATCTGGCTGTCGCACGCCGCGTGCGCGACGCTAAACACGGCCGGTAATTGCACGGCCCGTGACAGCGGCGCCGGCGGCTCTCCCGACGGCGGCGACGCTCCGGATCGATGGGGAGGGGGAGGGGGGAGGGTGACTGGACGGCGGGCTGAAAAAACTGGCGATGTGTGTAGTTTTGTTTTGGAGGATGGCTTTTCACGGGGGTAATGTTGGTGGGTCCGAAAATGGCGGTGCTGCTCGCCGTTATTCGGCGGGTCTTTCTTGAACAACGGCACGTGATTGTGGGAAAATTTTCTTTTCAAGCACCTCTATCACAGCAAAGCTTGTACCACGCAATCGTCCTCAGCCCGTGATTTGATGGTGGGAGAGCAATGGCTAGCGCACTGCGTTACGCTAAACTGGGCGTTGTAATCGTTTGAAGAGGTCTGCACATTATCATTCTGCATGTAACGCATTGCTGCGCATTTTGTGTGACCAGTGCGTATGCTGTTACGACGGCTGGTGGCAATGAAAGTGGCGGTTTGAGTGCAAGTGAATTGTGATTTTCGCTCTGACAAGTGGTTAAATGACCACAGCCCTCGTCAAATTAGCAAAATTGCCCTAGTGGTCCAGAAATGAAGTAACTGGCAGCGAGCGAAATAAATTATCGTCGGTGATAACAGTAATGCGATTGCCGATGTCAGTGGCAGTGTGCTGGAGGTCTCAGTTGTGGACATCAAAGGCTTGATTAAGTGGATATGTAGCTTACCAGTGGCTCAGTCTCAACCACTGGCATTTGCATGCGTCATCTTCGCTGACATGCTGAAGCAAAGCCCCGTCACTGAACACGCACTTAGGTAAATATGACTCGTCGCGTATCCCGCCCTTCAAATCTTTCCGACAACCCAGTTTTTCAAGCGGACTTAACCTAGACGTTTTGCGGCAGCGTGCACGTTACTCAGACCGCACACTGGCAGCAACAAAGGGCTGTTGCATCTCCCCGTCTCGGCTCCCAATGCGACCTCTCGCGTCTGAGATGAAGCCATTCTAATTCCGCATCTCCAGAGTGGAGGCGCCATTGTTTTCATCCTGCATTGTGTCCTCCGGCTGTAAGGGTCGGTTTCCGGCGCGGTCCGCCTGCAGATCGACCGTACTGCACAGGCCGGCAAGGATCAGAATGACCGTAATTAAGGCAGAAATGCGTTGTCATGATCCCGACCCGGCGAAAAACGCACAGCATCGTCTCCAAGCGGCCGAAGGGTTTCGGGGACCGCCGGAATGATCCAGCGCTTTGAAGCTGCGGCGACAGCGGCACAGGCATTGGAAGTGGCGGAACGCGCGCACTGGAAGCAGCTTTCGCTACCCCTCCTGCGAGGAGCTGGCGTCAGTGGAACTCGCCACTTTGTGTACTAGTGGCTAGTTCAATGACCCCCGTAGCCTGCCCGCCTGGGGACGGGGTTGCCGTGAGTGGGGGGGGGGGGGGGGGGCGGAGAGATGGCGTCTGGGGAGCAGCCTCTCTGGAGGTGCCAGTCAGTAACAAATATTTGGAGATCCTGTTTCGGACCGGATGTGGCTCGGACTGGGCGAATCCAGCCGCTCCATCAGCATGAACATTGCATGACGGACTGCTAAACACAACGCCGCCTGGCATGGCTCCGCGGCGAGGGCTGCAGCTGGAGCAGTGGAGAGAATTATCGCTGCAGCCAAGCGGGAATGTCGTAGAATGAATGGGCGTCGACACTTGGAGAAGTTGGCGGATGGCTTGTCGGCGTGCGGACTGATGTAACATTTAAGTGACTGCATTGTTGACGCTGATGTGTTTGGCGCATCGAGGCTGTACATGACGAAGGTGCACATTTACTACTCTACGTGTAGCCTGAAAGACATATTTGTATGCCTCACTTCTCGCTGTTCCAATGCCGTAATTCTGTTTTACAGCCAGACAGTGACTTATTTGCCGACATATCCACGTCCATGTGCGCGCGTGTGGCCAAACGTAACGCAGATTTGTTTCGTTTCAGGTGAGTACCCGTGCGCCATCCGTCACAGGTCACCAGGTCAGGTCATACAGCGCTTCTAACGTCGGGGGCTGGGCTGTAGACTGAACTTTCTGTCATCCGCATCTGTTACTGCACGCGATGAATCTTAATTGCCGGCGTCGATTTTGCGTGGGGTATAATTTGTCGCGGGTGTCACGCGTCTCCTTGGTCACGGGGTTGACGTAGGAGCATCTTCGGGGTTGCCGGTAGTGCAGTGGTTCACGCGTCTGCGTTAACCACTGCGCATCTGGGAAACCAGAGGTACGGGGTTCGATTCCCCGCGGTGCCCGCCCTTCCTGCCAGGGTGAGAGGCAGGCGACGCCATATAGCCTCAGCAGCTGAATGCGTCGTAGAGCCCCAATCACACACACACAGGAGCATCTTCGCTTCTTCTGCTCTGAGCCGAGTTGCCGAAGCGGGCTACCAGGCACCTGATTTCGTTACGTGCGTCGTTTGGACTTTGGACGTCATGCAGGAAGAATTTGAACACATTTGACCAAATGTTTTAAACTGAAAGGTCACTAAACCTGTGACTGTGGGATAAGCTGGGTTAAGTCAACCGCAGACCAGGACTTGAATTGGTTTAATTAACGACCGTGTAGGAATTTCCTTCGATGACTCTGAGACCGACGAAGCCAGTGGGCCATAAAGCGTCCTAAAAAGTGAACACGAGATCCCTCAGACAAGGCGTCTTTGGATCATTCACCAGCGTTGTGAGACACCGACGTCATTGCGCCTTTTAAACGCGATGAGACCTGATCCAACAGGCTGTAAAATTAATTGGAAACGTGTCTGCGCTCAACTAATATCTGGTGCATGCATGATGGCTAGTTCTTGGATCGTTCTGGATCCAATCGCATGCGATCTTTGAATCAGTCAGTTCTGAAAGAGGCAGCATATAGGGAGCCACGGAGCAGTTACGCCGTGCAACCTCATTGAATCACCGAGCAGGTGAACAGGTCGACAGGTACGGGATCACCAGACAGGTGGACGGGTTACCTCACTTCCACAAATCATTGGGCTGATGCACAAAGGAACTCTTGACGAATCGTCAATTAAGGATGAGGTCAGCCGTCAGCAATGCCTGGCGATCCAGAACAGCCGGCTGACGGAGAGGCAGAGAAGCTGGCCTGGACTGCGGTCGTGACGGTTATCCGACGTCACACCCCCCCCCCCCGCAACTCCACCCTTGCACCGCCCCCAGCCCGGCTGCCCGAGGCCCCCTCGCTTCTGACCCACCCTCGCACCACCCCCAACCCGGCTGCCCGAGGCCCCCCCTCGTTCCTGATGCACCCTCGCACCGTCCCCAGCCGCCCGACCTAACCGGTGTGGCAATCCAAGCGAGCACCGACTGCTGGACCAATGGCCCTAGTGCCCACAGCGGTCCCAGCGGCAGCGGCGTAGTATTGATGACGGCAGTGTCCGTCTGCTCCTTACTCGCCTTGTCGCCGCCGCGTGTTCTTCTGCACCTTTCCTAGAGCACCAAGGGCGGCTTTGGCGCCTCGCAGCACACACTCACAGGGAGGTGTCGATGCTGGAGCAAATGCACCGGCAATCGTGGGATGGCTTGAGAACGACCGTAATGTGCAACGGAAGCATGAACGTTTCACGCTATCACCGTTAACCGCCGGCGCAGATATTGCCGCGGCTCTCACGGAGTCTGATGGTTTCTCACGGAACGCCCGGGCGCGGAGGCTTTTCCGGCTGGACACCCCTGCAAAGTGCGGGTCGGAGACCCCTGCCAGCGGAGGGTGTATGCGGGCGTTCCCTTTCAGGTGGAGAGGTGACGGGCGTATTTGGTGCGACGTCGTGCGGCAATCATCGACCAAATGAGGCCGCGGCGGATTTGGGGCGGCTGCTGCTTCACGGCCGTGTGGGGGAAGTTGAGGGGGGACTGTATCGTCATGCATGCAAACAGCGCACGCGGGCTTAAAAAGTGGCAGTCGTTTAAGAATGTCAGCACTCTGGTACTGAACTGGTTCGACAATCTCGCGGATCAGAATTTGGTTTGAAGTTGAGGGCAGCTGCTGGTTTGCGTACTGCTATCACCGTGGATAATGAGGCATATGTCCACTAACTAGAGCTGCACGCGGGGCCTTGCGTGGACACTATCATTTTAAAAGGGGCCCTTCCGGTTCACGTGAATACTCAACTGAGTGACTACGTCGGGGCCTTGTTTGGACACTATCATTTTAAAAGGGACCGCGCTTTGAAGACCTTCGTCGGTTGCACTTTGCCGTCAAGCGCGTTAGCATTTGCATGCCCTCTTAAGAACCCGATGCCACTGTCATATTTGGGTAATTTAAACGCTTATCAACCCGGGCAGCAGACAGCTAAGCTCCACGGACACAAGATGCCACAGACACGCTCGCAAATTTACCGTGAGCTGCAATTTACCATGCCCTTCGCCAGGACGAATGACGAGGTACTCGCCGTGCCCGCCACGCTCCTGTCGCTGAGCCAACACAGCTGGGCAGAGGGTGTGACGTTCGCCTGGGTTTTTATCAGGCGATCGAACTCTGACCCGCCAGCTCGGCGTGAGTTGTGGCAAAGGGGGCTGCTGTGCACGGCAAGTCTCTGTTCTCGCCCCAAATATGTTTCGCCGTGCTCTTTTTTGGAGAACGCGTCGTCAGGGCCGGCATTTAGAGTGGTGTGATTATTTTTAGTCTTGTTATACGATAGCAACTCGCAGCACCGACACAAGTGCACATGGAAAGCAGGAAAGATGGATATTCAGTGTAAAAAGGGAAGCAAGAAGTTGATACGCAGTCAGGAAGGTTGGAGAGTGTAAATGAGAAATCCACACATGCGAACCGCGAGTGAAACAGCCCTGCGGAATTAGGAAAACGGCCAAGTGTGACTCCGACGTTCACACGGAAAAAAAACACTAAAAAATAGCACAGAAATCATGTCACGTGTTGTCATCAACAGAAACCAAGACAGATCACGGCAGGGCACCTCGAACACGGCAAGAGTAGTAGTGGTAGTCCCTGCCCACGCCATGGCCTTTCTACACCAGCGTCCCTTCTACGCTGACTTCCGTCGTGCATGGACGTGTGGCGCCACGGCCGCCGCGTCCCGGCGTCTCGGAGGTGTGCTGTGACGCGTCCGTCGCCCGCGCGTCACGGCCGCGCGTGGTGTGGCTCATGTACACGCCCTTCTTCGTACTGCTGTAACGATGGCGCCGGCCCGTGATGCCGACGAGTGACGCGGGATGCGCCGGTACGGCGTCAGGGGCGGGCGTCACGTGGCGTGAGAGCCCGGTGACCTGCGAGCTGTGGGGCTCCTTTGTATCTTCGTACCGTTGTACCTTTGTACCTTTGTATCTTTATACCTTTTTATCTTTGTACCTTTATATCGCTGTGCCTCCGCATCTTCGTACCTCTGCCTCTTTGTATATGTGTATCTTTGTACCTTCCACATGCTAATCACAGTCACGGATGGCGTGCGGTAGGGTTCCTCAAGGGCTTCTCCGTTTACGTTGCAGCAATAGAGGCCCGGGAACAGGGCCTGGCAAATCAGCCCACACCGCCCTGCGTTCGCTGTGCTGCCGCGGAATATCGACGTATGGCATCAGTTGCGTCATTTGAAAAAAATGACGTCATCCGTCCCGGCCGGCATTTCTTTGCATCCATCTACTATCACGTGCTGTCATAAATCGCCAGCAACGAACGTTTTTGTAATCAGGAAGGCTGCTTTAAGTTAGCAACATTTCCTAAGGTTTGTTTTGCCGTTGAATTATGGGTATGCCACAGTGAAAGTGAATGGAAGGAGGAACCATCGGCGGCGGCATTTCCCGTGCCATGACTCTGCAGTAGGGATCGTGACACCTTGTCCCAAATTATTGGGGGGTAGGCTCAAATATTAATAAAGGAGTTTCTTAGTCATTTACCCACACACGGGCTTAGACCCAATGACAAATGTGGAATTAATGGGAAGCCCAGGCCCCCCCCCGAACTTAACAAAGTAACACCCCTATGCGATCATATTCGTTCCCGGTTGCCTGCACACGACGTCCAGGTGCTCAAAGCGGGCATCACGCCGCCGGGGGTGCCGCCGGGGATGCTACTGGGGTGCTGCCGGGGATACCGCCAGGAGTGCCGCCAGAGATACCACCGCCAGAGGTGTCACCGCGGCTGGGGTGCCGCCGGGGACACCGCGGCGGGGGTGCCGCCAGGGGTGTCACCGCGGCTGGGGTGCCGCCGGGGACACCGCGGCGGGGGTGCCGCCAGGGATACCGCCGGGGGTGCCGCCAGGGGTGTCACCGCGGCGGGGGGTGCCGCCAGGGTGCTGTCAGGGTGCCGTCAGGGGTGCCGCGTCGTCCGGCGGGTCTGACGGGTGACACGGCCAGTGCGTGTCGGCCCGGTTCCCATTAGACCGTCACAGCCGGGCTAAACCAATAAACAGCTGATCCGGGAGAGGGGAGGGGCGCTTCGGCTGGCGAGGTCAGTGGACACTGGCGGTGGCGGACGGCCTGTCCCAGGGGTGAGGGGGGGGGGGGGGTCGGAGGTGTCCGGCGCCGGAGGCGTGGGAACTGAGGAGTCAAGTAGCAGAACCGGGGGCAAGCATAGCGATTCCCGGTGCTGAAGCGGGCAGTGGACATGTGACGTCACCGTTGAGGAGTGGATAACCAAACGGACATGACGCGTCAGCTCACAGTTACAGCTATGCAGAGCTTCCGTGTGCTCGCATGCTCGCCCCGCCCCATGCTTCGCTTGCAGGCTGTTATTGGCACTATCTAGTTGGCTTTAGATTGCCTAATACAGGCTGGGCGTTCGAGTATTCAATCATGTGGCTGAGATTGACGCGATAAAGCGTTTTGCTGCCAAACCGTGGTTAAACCCTCGCAAAACCGACCCGTGCAAAACCACCACCGTCAAAGATCTCGTGCTGATAGAGATCGCTGCCGAACACAAACTGGAACTTGAAGCTTGGATAGTGTAGATGTGCATGCTGATGTAGATGCTTGCCCAAAAGCGGGTTCCGTGGAGTCCGGTGGTACGAACAGAGTGGTTTTGGAATTTTGGGACTACCAACGCAACGCGTGCACAAATCAATCCCTTTTTCAATTTGCTGATGGGTAGCAATGAGTGGCGATATACATACACCCCATAGGTATTTTGATAGGTCGTCACTTGTTGGGGAAGGCACTATAACAACTTTTCTGTGGTATGCTGTGCGTTTGCCAACGTCTTGCCAGTATGGATCGAAAGTAGATCGGTAACAGGGATCGATTCACG